ACCGCTGGCCCTCACTTAATTGGCTTAAAAATATTAAATCTAACGAAAGCGCCATATGAAAGCGAATGGACCAGAACGACGGCTGCTGTATTCTTTCGGATTAAATGTACATATATTTGAACATCTCATCTAAAGCATTTGTTGCAAAACAAATATAGAATTTTATATGTTTAAAAATACATACTGCACGTTTCGGAATCTTTCCAATTTATTTTGTTTTATTGTGTTCGCAGATCGCGAGTTCAGAGATAAAAATTGTAAAGAGGTCAAGTACTAAATTTCCTTTATGTTAAAACGCTGGCAGCATTTTACAAGCTCGGATAGCCAATTACTCCTGTCTGAGTGTCGCTAACCCCTACTAAGACTTTTACGCAAGTTCATTCCATATAAGGCATATACAGTATACACCTCTTTTATAGAGAAAGTTCTAAAATTGAGTTACTTCTAATGAGAAGTAGTGGAATGTGATTCCGGTGCTAAGCCTAGTAAGTTTAGAGGACCCATTAAATGTAAGAAAAACTTGCAATTGATCAATGTTGCGTACACAAAAAAAACCTCAAAATACCTTATATTATATAGAAATATCAATACTTTTCTTATAAATTATAATTTGTAACATTAATGAGTTATATATATAAAATCTTTGTAAATAACAAGGTGTTGTAAGTACTATCTTGTTAAGGTAAACAAATACCCAAAATTTTTCAGATATACAACAATGATAGTACAATTATCTTAAATTCATTGTTGCAACAAATTTGTCACCTTGTTGTTTTTTTTTTGGCAAAGTGTGCCAGTTTCTCTCGCCCACTTGACTTGATTTGGGAATGGGAAGTAAATTAAAATTTTGACATTACATTTTTTTAGATTAACATTCAATTATATATATATATAGTTACCAATATGAATAAATTAATTTGGATTTGTATTATGCTTATAATTTTAGCAATTATTTAAATTATTACTTATTCAGTTTGACATATAGAACTGTGTCATTCTTCTGTTCTGTTTTTTTATCATCATGGTATTGTATACCACCTTATTAAAAAATCCAGAAACCCTGTAAGTCAAAAGAACTTATTTTACATAATTAAAAGAACTTATACCAACATAATGTGTCATGTTAATATTAAAATTTTTAAACTTAATAAACCAAACAGAAGTATTAAACGAACCTAATATGCAAGATCCACGTTAATTTATGGCTATCAGTAAAACAAGTTATTCAAGGAACTTGGTTTGATCGCCAAGTTTAATTTGTACAGTAAAAAATGCTGGCCTATTTAAGTATAAACTTCTACCTGAGTACACTGAGTACAAGGTTCTTCCCTTTTGGGTGGTATTACAAACACCATCCTAACCAATCTGAGTAAAGATAACTATAAAAAAACACTTTTTCCAACCTAGTCAAATTGAATGTAACTGAAATGTATTTCAAGAAATAATAATGTATTTAAATGTACGTAAAGAAATCATTATATAGTTTTATAATTGCATTATGAGGAAAATTGTTATAATACATATATTAGAAAATTATTGTGATCAAAGAATCACTATTTCCTTATGGTTTTAATGCAAAATAAAACCATGTTATTATATAAAATGGAATTAACTCCCAGATAAACAAATGGTGACAATTGCTTTCACAAAATTTCATTTAGTCAAAGTGGATGTGGGGCATCTAAAAACTAGGTGTGAATTATATCACCAACAAGGTTACATTCAAATATTTCCTGATGAGTCAAAGATTTTAAGGTCCGAACAAGAATAGATCGCTGTAGGCGTTATTGGTAAAACCCACGAAATGCAACAACTGTTTTAAGTAACCACAGACTGTGTAGGGTAATTCAAAGCATTTACGGGTGGGGCGATAAGAATCCTATTAGATAAGTATCTCCCTTAAGGTGTAGAGTCTTTCCTAATAGTGAATCTGCAGCGAGAGACGCATAGTATTAATGCTACTTCTTTGTGATTTCGAGGTCACCCGAAAACGATTGGTTATATAGGACTTGCCAAAGTAAAACACCGCTTACCGCTTGTAGCGCCGCAAACCTGTCCTTCGTCATCCTTTACAGAAAATCACACACCAAATAAAGGTTTTATCTTATTACACAATCCCATTCACAGATATTTTCTTAACGAACGTCACTAAACTAAAGGACACGAACACTAGTTCACTTCACTCAAAAAATCGATACAACGAACGAACGAAACTTCTATCCGTCAGTAAACTGAAGAAAATTTTCACGAAATAACATGTGGTGTTGCCAGTGTCCATTAATGTTTTGCCAAGTAGATTGACTTTTCTCTTGACAAAACCAACTTTAACTTTTAAAAATTAAACTGGCGGCGTGGTTTTCATCTTATACACGCTTAATTAAAAAAATTAAAACAATGAAAAAAACTGTTTTAAAAATAATATAATTAAAGTTACCTATCGCGGTTTCGGGCTGAGAAGGAATGCGTCGATCTAGTTTTTAAGGTTGGATTCTGTGATTCTGCAGCAAATTATGAGAAGTGTAAAACAATCCATAAAAAAATATTAAGACTGATAATAGTTATATAAATTATCAATAGCCATATTTTTAATATATCTATTTATTTATTAACATTTCGTTTCATGTACAGAAATTTAATACAATTGACATAATTCAATAAAAAAAGTGGGCAACTGACGCCCTTATAACTTTCGAGAGATCTCTTCTCAGCCGTGAGAAAAAAATATTAAATAGGATAAGGTTAGTGCAAAAATACATAAGGCATACAGTTATTAGACAAAACTAATGCAACAAAACAAAGCAATTAAAACATATGTAAACAGTGAACATGAAAAAAAAAGTGCACATGAATCACGATAATTTCAGATCAGTTAGTACGAAAGTTAGGGCTACGATATGGACAGGTAATGCTTGTACTGAAGAGATTTAAAGATAGACAGTAGGAGCTAAGCGAATAGGTTCCATGGCCATAGCCACACTGTAGAGACCTTAAAGGATTCCTTCAGAAAGGAAGATAGGATTTCAAGGATATAGTTTTAGTTAGAACGTAAGCTATAGTTATAGGCTCCCAAACATTTGAAATACTTAGATTTTGAGATAGGAAGGAGTTGTAGGATTGAACAGGATGGAATATAAGACATGGAGAGACATGAGAGCATGACATGAGAGCATCACATCGCTGTCGACTGGGTAACCAACCCAGCCGCTTACGGAACGCAGAGATATAGACCTAATATAAAACGGATACACAAATTTTGGAGACGAAGCAATTCCTCATTTAGATCGGAAGAGCAAGAATTGGCGTAGTCTAGTAATGGCAGGAGAGATTGTGCCAGTGAGGCTTTAGTGCTAAAGGGAAGTTAATTACTAAGACGTGGAAGGATACTGGAGGCACCGTACAATTTTTGGCTAACTTGCTTAACATCGTGCTCCCAGTATAAATTTTTATCAATTAAGTCCCCCAAATTTATGTATATATATGTGTGTGTGTGTAGGGGGTTAGGGTTAGGGTAGTAGGACTCCTTTCTCCGCAATTAAACTCCTAATTGGTCCGTTGTGCGTACGAGTCCTGGCTAATTTAGCCAGCCTAGCTCCTTCCAGAAGCACAGAAGTCTCCCGGAGCGACTTCACAGGCTTCCCGGAGCGACCTAACAGTTCCGAGGATTTTTTCACGTTGATTAGCCACAGCCACGCATTCCAGGACTACGTGGGTGACTGTTTCCTCTGCGCTGAAACAGCCTCTGCACAGGGGGCTGGTTCTATTTAAGCTTAGTAGTCGCTTTGTCAGTTGCGGGTTCATTCAGTGTGTGTGTGTATATATAGATATATATTCAGACATACAAATATAAAAGAAGAAGCCAGATAATTGGTGCTATTTGCCGAATAGTTGCCAACTAGTCGCTGATTAGCTGGATAGTAGGCTAGCCAGCACATGACTATAAATATAAACATTTATAGAATAATACTATGTTCATTCTAAAATCTATAGTACTTAATTCAAAGGCTATTATTATTAAATTTGTATAGTTTGCAAGAATAATCGAAAGTTATAAATTTCCGATGGTGAAAATGTATAAATATATGTAATTTATTTTTCTTTTAAACCTCATCAAGTTGGGTAACTGTAACTTGATTTTTATAGAATTTATAAGAAAATAGCACGGTTGCATCTTGTTTGGCTTTATGTAACAGTTTCCTAAATTCAGCCTAAAACAAGGTAATTTTTATACGTCTAGCAGCACCCAATTATAGATGGCGCCAAAGGTTGTGACTTATGACGTCAGTATTGCGGATATGAGTAAAAAAGAGTAGAAGAGGATCATATTAACATCTTTTAAATAACATATTTTTATAATATATTATGAAATAGTAAAAAAAACATAAGACTTTAAAAAAAAATAACAATAAACTAAATTGTAAAAGACAAATTCGTAGCAAGAAATATATAATTTTTCAAAAACAATTACGGTCCCTCGGTTGACTACAGCTGTCATCTACACTGTCGTTCAGTTGCCGATGTCAGAGTTTTCTTCCGTTTAGTCAAGTGACGCCATTGTGAGCCGTAACGACTTTTAAGACCACGGAGTTTAATCTCGAATTTCTTAGTTAATCTTGGTAAATAGTGCTTTCAAATATTGTGATTAAGTTCTATATACTTAATTCTTTCTAGTTATAATTGTATTTATGTGATAAGTTATGTAATTATAGTGTAATTCTCGCTGGAGTTCGGTACTATCAAGCTAAATTCCTGTGAGGATAATTGAGCGCCATTTGATCAAAAACTTGAAATTACTTCTTGTCAGTTCTCATTTGTTTTAGGAACAATTTAAATCTTGATATCATACTGATTTTGATTAGTATATTTACTATAAATAGGGTTTCGTAACGTAAACAAAAAAGTCATACGCATAATCTTTTCAGATGTTGTCATGCTTTCTATTTTAGTAATGTTAATAATTATTTGTATATATTTTCAGGAGAGTACCAAGTAAATATTTAAAAATGACGGATGATAATATGCCCACTTTTAAATGTGTCTTGGTCGGAGATGGAGGCACTGGAAAAACTACCTTTGTGAAACGCCACTTGACTGGAGAGTTCGAGAAACGATATGTCGCCACACTCGGTGTTGAAGTTCACCCCCTTGTTTTTCATACTAACCGAGGACCTATCAGATTTAACGTGTGGGATACAGCTGGACAAGAGAAATTTGGTGGTCTCAGAGATGGCTATTACATCCAGGGTCAATGTGCTATCATAATGTTTGATGTAACCTCACGTGTCACATATAAAAATGTACCCAATTGGCATAGAGATTTAGTCAGAGTGTGTGAAGGTATCCCCATTGTACTGTGTGGTAACAAAGTAGACATAAAGGACAGAAAAGTTAAAGCTAAGACTATTGTATTCCATAGGAAAAAGAACTTACAGGTAATACAAATTTTGCAATAATTACTCTATGCTTTTGTTTTGTAAGTATATAATAACATGTATCATACATGTTTTTTTAAATACCTACCATTAATACCTACAAGATACTGTCAATTAATATTATTATTTTCTATTTAAAACCTTTACTCATTATTATGTAATTTAAAAATAAAATTTTGTTCTAGTACTATGACATCTCTGCTAAATCGAATTACAACTTTGAAAAGCCCTTCTTATGGCTAGCAAGAAAGTTGATTGGTGATGGAAACCTTGAATTTGTGGCTATGCCTGCACTTGTCCCACCAGAAGTTACTATGGACCCGCAATGGCAAAACCAAATTGAAAAAGATCTCAAAGAGGCTCAAGATACTGCTCTCCCAGAGGAAGATGAAGACTTGTAAATAAAAACTCAGTTAAAATCCAGTGAAGCTATAAGTAACAGTTTTTTCATCATTACTTTGAAATCGGCTCATGTGTTAATCATTAAGCTATGTCCTGATCTGTTGAAATTCATTCTTTGTATTATTTTTATTGTATTTTTAGTATTAAATTAATACAATTTAGGATATGTTGCATGTGATGAGTGTATTGCCAAATCCAAGCACCACTAATTGCAACAACAATTAGAGGTTTGTATCATAACATTTTGTTAACTTCAACAATTCCATTTTTTTGTTACAATTAAACATATTAAAAATAAATTGTGGTGATACTTTTTCAATAAAGTTGTAAAAATATAATGTATTTTATTTAAACATTGTAACAAATCCTACTGTTAACCTAACCTATTTCATTGTAAGTACCTACTAAATATTGATTGAGTCATGTATGATCAGCATTTGGTCATGAGTCATCTTGCATCATACTATAACAGCTATTAGTATTGTGTACCATCTAGTAAACGGCTTCCTTTTGATTCAAATACAAAAACAGTAATATTCAAATTAAAATACAACAATGCCCATGAGATGGTTTTTTGCCGGAGCTGAGCCCTAATTCCTAATACATAATCGTTTTTAGGCAATTGAAAGAGGAATTCGATTATTTCACTTTTAATCGTTATAATACATGATTTAAAAAAAATGCACCGATTGCGATCCCTACGTTGCAAAATCAGAGTTACAGATAGTAATGTGGACTGTTTCCGCACTTAGACGCACATTTGGTCCGTTGTTCGTCACCGCTACAGTTATTAAAGGACCTACATCAACATGCGTACAAAAACTTCGGTACCGCTAATGGACGCTTCAGAGGCAAGATTCTCATTGCATACTTGGAAACATAAATTTCATTTCTGAACATGATAAATAAATAGCTACAGTGTTTTCAACAACCAGTAGCAGTGAAGTATGTATAGAAAAGTACAATAATAAATACTAGGAAAGGGTCTGGTACACCTTTATTTTAAATGCATAATACAATAAACTACAATCCTATTCTTAATACTATGAAACTGTTCACTTCTTCGCGGCAGCCTTTTCCCTGGCCTTCTTTCCCTCTAGAAGCTTGAGTCTATCTTCTTCTGTAAGGTCTTTGTTGATCTTGGTGATGACACCAGTTCCCAGAGTCATGTCACCAAGTCTCAATGTAAATCTTTGTCCAGTTTCGCAAACCATGGGTTTTAGTAGTCTTAGCTGTAATCTGAAAAAAATCATATTTTAGAACAATTTACATACATATATATTATACACAATATATTTATTACGATTATTTTAGAAGCGGCAGTATTTATACAAGGATGAACCTTGCTTTAAAAGCTACAATTTGTATTATTATATAATAATTCATTTATTTTTTGAGGTCCATAAAATTTATAATTGCATATGACGTATAGTATATATAATTGAATTTTGTTTATTGTATATTGTTAATTTGCATTATATTTCTGTTATATAAATATTTTAGCTTAATTTTATTCTGTAAATTTCCCATTGTGATACCCATTTCTAGACATAAGCCTTTGTAGCATAATCCAATTTAATTTACACAATTCCCTTTTTTAAAATAAAAATATTACTTAAAAAAATTCCAAAATATAGTTGAAAACTATCTCTGTTACATAAACCTTATGTATTTATAGACCTAAAGTACTGAGTTTAATTTTAGGTAGAATCATAATTATTGACTACTCACGAAGAATCTTCTCCTGGCATGACCATCTCCTTATTGGGAATGGTGACCTGAGTAGCACAATCCCATGTCATTGAGAACATTTGCAGTTGAATGAATGATGTGAAGGGTTTTGCACGACCACCTTAAATAAATAACGTAAAAAATATATAATTAAAACCAATATTTTATTTATAATAAATTCATATTTATAGCTTATTTCGGTAAATATTACAAATGAGAACAGGAAATAAGATACAAATGAAAATAATAATATTGTTTATTTTCATTTGCATTTGCATTTTTCATTTGCTATAATTAGTGCTCATTATTCAACTGCATATTACAGATAAAAAATACAGCAAAAGCTTTGATAAAAATCCATTCCCGGACACTAAAGTGAATATGACTGTCGTTTCACAGAACCTTATAAATATAACAAAACAAACCTTCTTCCTTGCTCAGGATATAAACGGCGGCTTCAATATTGTCATGGGCCTTAACAGTTCCCGGCTTAGCCATTACCATTCCTCGTTTGATCTGTTCTCGCTTAATGGATCTAACTAAGGCGCCCAATTGGTCACCGGCCTGCGCTTCTTCTAGCGTTTTATGGAACATCTCAACTCCGGTCACTGTTGTTTTCATCACTTTACCATGACCAACAATTTCACACTCTGTACCTTTCTTTAATACACCTGAAAATATACAATAATTGTATACTATTACATTTAATGGAATTAATAAAAAAATCTCCATCTTCTTTAAGCATTAGTTTCTTATCACACTGTGAGTGGCAGATGAGTATTGTAGTTAAAAGTGGATTTGGACAAATTTACATAGTTATTGATCTCATTCAATTTTGTAAGTAATAAAATCTCATTAATAATATAACCCCAATAACACATATTGGTAATCATAGACAAGCAAGACGTCGAATCTAAATTTAAATAAATATTACCAACTGATATACTCCTTACAACCCTGGTTAGTCCTTAGATGAATGGCAATATTGGTAAAGGATGTACGAGAATCTTGTTCTCAGACATCCTGTTTAATCATGCTTTGAATTATAATATTATATACCTCTGTGCATACGTCCTGTCACAACTGTCCCTCGTCCTGGTATTGAGTGCACAGACTCAACAGGCATGAGGAATGGTTTGTCCAGTTCTCTAATTGGAGTTGGAATAAAAGCGTCCACTTCGTCCAATAGCTGAGTGATGGCGTCAGCACCTATTTCTGGGCTTTTACCATCTAGTGCACATAAAGCTGATCCTGTAATGTAAGTATAACAATTTCTCTATTTATAATATTTTTTTATTTTCTCTCCAATTACAGATAACCCTCAAATGCATTATTATCCCTGTAACAAGACGTTGCCAATAAATTATTTAATATTCTCTGGTTTATGCTAGTTGTTGTGTATACAAAGTTGTAGTAAAGTTTATTTTATGTATAGCTGAAAAGGTTACCTATAAGTTTTGTATTTCTAACATTACATTTCACTGCAAGTTCAATTTGCTATGTTCATATTTTAACTGAAACAATTGGGAGTTTTTTGTGCTACTTAACTGTAGAATTTTTTATGTATGGTCTCCTGAGAAGTCCCACTTGCCAGTTGTCAGTTGAATGATGAATTTATTTTGAAAATGTATTACTTGTATATAAATCAGTAATGGAGTATGTATTATTATATGGTTGTCACAAGTGAAAGGTGATATTTTGCAAACTAAACAATTTAAATCCTTTGATGACTGATAGTTCCAACCACCAGGTAAAAATATTAAATTGTTATACAAACTTTGTCTTACCTTTGACAACAGGTATTTTGTCACCGTCATATCCCATCTCAGACATCAACTCTCTAATTTCCATCTCCACTAGTTCTACCATCTCGGAATCAGCAGCATCTACTTTATTAATAAATACTACTATATGTTGAATACCAATCTGCTTAGCAAGCAATAAATGTTCTCTTGTCTGGGGCATAACACCATCTGTTGCTGCAACTACAAGAATTGCACCATCCATTTGAGCTGTTCCAGTAATCATGTTCTGGAATTTGATAATGAATTGATAATGTTAAAATACACTAGTCTTGATTGCCCTATAAGATAGAGTTTAAAATTAATTATTATGTATAAAAACATTATTGATAACAATTCTTAGTTTCTAATGTAGAAAATGTAATGAATAATTAATAAAAATGCTGAATACATATTTTTTTCATTGGTACTTGAGCATAGACAGGATATTAATGAAGCCAACACCTAAAATTAATTTGCTTTACCTTAATATAATCAGCATGTCCAGGGCAGTCAGTGTGGCCATAATGTCTCTGTTCTGTTTGATACTCAACATGAGCAACATTGATAGTGATACCACGGGCCTTTTCTTCTGGAGCATTATCAATGTCTGTATAGCCTTTACTCTGTGCTAAGTTGCGGTCGGCCAAAACTAAGTAATCAAAATGAGAATTGCATTTCAATTATCAACATAATATTCAAGGCGACAACTAACACTAAAGTACCAAATTAGGCTCTCTCAAATTTGAATGGTAATTATAGTACATAAATTAATATAAGCATATTATTTAACCTATGGATGTATATTGAACATCAATAATATAAAATGAAATTGTTAGTATATGAACTATGGAATACCTCTTGTAATAGCAGCAGTTAATGTTGTTTTTCCATGATCTACATGGCCAATAGTACCAACATTACAGTGTGGCTTTGTTCTCTCAAACACTTGTTTTTCAGCATAATTTCTACGAAGTATAATACTTAGAGGTGTAAGTGTGGGTGTTCCACTGACACGTACATTTGCACATGGGGTTTGCTTCAGAAATACTTTCAGTGCTAAAAATAAATAAGATTTAAGAGGCAAGTGCATATTTCTAGTCAGAAATGAAACTGGTCGAACTGCAATATTAAATCATTAATCTCAATGCATTCATCATGGCCTAATAGTTAATGTCTCTTACTTACAAAAAAGAATTCTAAAAAAACCGAGACTATTCCTTTAAACGTAGAGAAAACATTTACATAATATGTCGCATAGTGCGAATGTGAATATTGAACTACACTCAACATACTAATTTGGGCATATTGTTATTTTGACGTAAAAAAAAATAACTATAAGAAATGTACAAAAATCGGTGTTATCTAAACTTGGAAAAAGTCCTGTGGTCTCACCTGGGTTAACCAAACTTTTAGCGAATGATATTGTCGCCATGGTTGTGTCAATACCACTGTATTGAAGAAAAATTATAAGTTCTTTGGTTTTACTACAAATACGTCGAAAAATAAAAACCCTATTATTTAATATTTTCTGAAATCAATATCGTATGAAATTTAGAACTCCAACCTTAAAATCTTTATTCTCTAATCTATCACAGATAAAAAATAATGAAATACTACGAATAACGAAGACTATACACAAATATTTCGCCGGGTACATTTTTCGCTAAAAGCACAGGTTATTATGTTATGATGCACTGCCTGCACTGCATTTTTATGCATAAAATATAATGCAGCTATGCATTATTATGGCTTATAATAAAATACAAGCATAGCGTAAATTTTAAGCACTTATCAACGTATTTATTTATTACTTGCTAGCAAGGTGTCTGAGTACAGAATGTGGAGGAAGGAAGGTGCTGCTCTTTCTGTGAACTAAATGTCAATAAAACATGTAAATAAGTTATTACTAAGTTAAATTTATTAAAAATTGCAAACCAAATAAAATACACCAATCATTCACATAGCCAAGTGACTGAATTGTATTTAACTAAAATTAACGAATCGTTTTTTAACAATGAAAGATATTATACACGCAATCAAGAAACTTAAAAAAATGTTATATAAAATTATATTAAGTTAAAATGGGATGCGATGGTTGCATTTATCATTTACAAAAAAAAACAGAAAATTTAGTCTGAAGGTATAGATAGCACAAGGGATAGATCTACTATTATTTAGTAAGTAACAATTAATATGAAACATTAAGTTTTTTTTTTAATTTTGCGTTGTATTTATCTATTTCTTCTTCAGTAAAATTTCTCGGTTCCTTAATGGGTCCGTTGTAGCGACTTACAAAAGAAAACTTTTTTAGTCGCATCGGAAAATCTAAAGCTTCACACTCTTCGGCTTGCTGTAAAGAGCGGTTCAATCGCCTTTTGAGAAGTTTTTCTTTACAATTCCGCACTTTAGCTTTGTTTCGAGCGAATGGTAAAATACATTTTGCAGAAATCCAAGCTCTCGTAACATTATCATCAAAAAATGTTACGTTGTAGTGACTCTGTAATATAACGTATAGACTAAAAAGCCTGAATCATGAAAATACACAGATTAGATGCAAGTGGGTAGGCGTGAAATTAATTCAAAACCAAACATTATTTGCGTTTCTGATTCTTAATACTTTAAGAAAGCTTTCAATGGACCTATTTCAGCTTGCTGTAAATGTTTAATATTCTATGTATATTTTTTAATACTACTATTTATTTATATTAAAGTTTTTCGTCTTCACAGCTACTCTTACCTATAAAAACATAAATGAAACAATTTGGCATATAACACGATTTGAATAGCACCCATGTCTTAGGTCCCGCTGGAGTGAATTTGATGGCCTTACCGGTATATCACTGAGCCCATCTATCCAATAGAACTGTTCCGTATCAGGATCGTCATCAACCATAGCGGGCCACCAAGGCCAATCCCCAAAGCGAGCGATCACTATTGAGCCAACCGAATATTCACTATGTATAAGATCAGCTTCTACTTGTAAGGGAATTTCTTCTTCTGGTACTGAGCAACTAGATATTTCTGTATTTGAATAATATATTTAAGTATTAAATAGTCTTAGTAAAAAAAATAGACCATAATCCACAGAATAGGAATCTGAAATCTATGTAAAATTCGCAGTTAGGTATGATTATAAATAATTGATTAAATATTTATAATGTATGATCCTCTTAACCTATTAATATATTCTATAATGAAAAAAAAAACACGCAAGATTTTTTGATTTATATTCTCTGTTATTTATACAGAACTGGAGAGACACTAGGCCATTAGAGGGTACGCCTATCCAGGGGATGCTTATTTAACCGCCGCTTAAATTAACCGATATTATACTGACAAAGAGAGATGGAAAGGGGTAAGGAGATATACTCGACCAAATCGTGCAGTGTGGCATCTGGGTATATCATATCAACAACGAAGGGGTGAAACTCCAGCGTGCTTCTAGATGAGGGTTTTTTTAAAAGGAGGAGTGGGGAAGAGAATTCCAGGGATATTTCAGGTCTAAAGAAACGTAATAAATGAATTGAAAAATCCTATTTTATAAAGCATTTATTAAAATTTATATTCTGTACTAATATATAAACTACTCTACTTACACATACCTACAGCAAAGACATGTACACACTAACCTGGGTGTAATTTACAAAACCATTTGTCCGGCAATTGGTGTCGCTCATATACATTAGGCATAATATGCCTCCATTTGTTACAGGAGTCACATTGTACCCATAGGCTAGATTCAATTCGGCGTTCTTGGTACCATAACATTCTCTCAAATTGGGTCAATTCGTCTGGGGGCTGACTGAGAAGCTCTTGGCTAAAGGAAATTACATTAAGTTTTTTTTTAATTTCATGGACATGATTGTTTAATAGCGAGAAATTTATATGATGTTAGATGTGTTGTGAATATAATTAATTTTCATAGTAGATAAATAAGACACACCTTTGAGAAGCCATTGAGCGTATGGATGATGATATAGCCTGGAAAGGAAAAATATAATCTCAAGCTTAGGTTTCCTAAAAAAGCGGTGCCGTTAACTAACGGCGGTCATTTTACGGTTGTTAATAACAGCCGTCTTTACTTTTTAACATAATGCAAAAAAAACATAATTTTCGCTCGTCCAAGTCACATTTCCACTCATGGTATTAATTAAATATGGGCACCGCTAAACGCGAAAAACGTTGAACTAATGTTTATCAGCACTATTTGACGTTACGGTAACACTCAAACGTTCTGTAGAAAACCTACTCCGATGTTATTTATAGACAACGTATGGGTGATGTCACCCATGTAACGTTGGGTAACGGCACCGCTTTTCTAGGAAACCTAAGCTTAATTTCCTAAAGAACTTTTAGACGAATTTTTAAAACTACGTTACCCCTCTTGTTGTTCATTTTAGACCCCCTCCCCCAAACCAACCCACGTAATTATTTAGATAAAGATATATTTAAAAAAAAATGTGTGGCTTTAAAACCGAATTCTTTATCAGATAACAAAGTTTTAGTGAGTCAACTTTTCTATCGATATTAATCTTATACTGCCGTAGACATTTTTAGAACAATTTAAGACAAAATTAATTCCATAGTACATAGTATTTGCGTAACGGAAGCTCTCAATACGGTAATTGTTTTCCCTTTTTTGATACCTTTCTTATTGATGCTCCACTCTTATCCGTAGTGTCTCTATAATATATATTTATTTTATTTTTATAAATTGTAATTAAAGTTTTTAATTGCTTCACAGTAGATGTAATTGGGGAGTCACAACCCTACTGTATATATAAATTACGTGTCACGTTGTTTGTCCGCTATGGACCCCTAAACTACCGAACCGATATCAATCAAATTTGCACACCGTGTGTAGTTTGATCTAACTTAAAAGATAGGATAGCTTACATCTCAATTTATAGCCGCAATATTATTTTATTGCAAAATATAACTAGGTCTGCTAGTGTCTTAATAAAACAACACTTTTGAGTTATACCTACTTGGTTTTCATGAATCAGCTTACCATTTACAGAGTGTGTACACCTTTACATTCAACTTATAATCTAATCTAAATTCACGTGTATTTTTGCACAGCTCTTTAAACAAATAATGATAGTGTAGGTACTGATATTCTACCTTCATCTACGATCAATTAGAAACCTTATAAGCGTTAGTTATAAAAAAAATCTGGCATCTTCTATCCAAAACCACAACCATCCAAACTATATGTGTACCATTTTCCGTGTTTCTACTAAGTACTTGCATTGTATTATAATTTAAAATAGTTCATTTATCTACCTCTGGTTGTGATGCATTTTCCGGCTCGGAGGGTGTACCCGTTGGTAAATCTACTTTATCCATTGCTGGACCTTCAGACTTTTCACTGCTGAAATACTGTAAGGAAGATAATTTATTGCACATAAAATTTATTTTAGGTAACAAATCCGTATTTTAATAATACTTTGTATCCTCACTGAATATTTTAAGGTGTTCTGATGTTTTTCTATTCTTAGGAGTCTAAAATTAATAGCACAATTTCTAGAGTATCTTAAGTCCTTTCTTTCCCGTCATAAGATGTTATTTTCCCTCCAACTTTTGCAACAAAATAAAAGAAAAGGCGCGTAGTCTATTTGTCTGTGGTTTGGCTTTGAGACCAATTTAATTTACTTTAATTTTGCAAATTTATGTTAGTCGGCCTTAAATTTAAATTATTTTTAGCTTACAATATTATCTCATTATTAACATTTATTGAGAAAATAATAGTCAATGTACTTATATAATTATTGATATTTGAAATAGTTTCTTAAATATTTTTTTTCTATGATTTTTCAAACTAAATACCAAAGATCAAAGAAAAAGTCAAAGCAAAGCCTTATTTATTTTAATTCTGGTTTTAAACGTATTTACGTAGTGTTTTTTTAAATTTAAAATAAGTTTATCACTTAAATAAAGATAATTAAAAGTATATTTTTTATTTTTGTCTTGATTTAGGTTTCGATAAGAGGAAGTGCGCAGTGTATTATCTGCCTGGCTGCCGGCTGCTAAGCTGGTCGCCATATTTGTGGCGAGTTGAGTAGTTGTGATTTTTCACGAATTCGTCGATATATCGACGAAAGGGAGTAGCCAGTACTCCCTTATTAGTGTGTCGCAGTTATTCTGTGTAAATTTTGAAAAAGCTTATATTTTTAGTTCAGAGTTTGTTATTTTCTCATTGTGTAAAGCTATAAACATGGCCTTTTAAAATGTCGGCTTTGAATGTAATTAGTGTGTCTGCTCGCGGAGCTTCCCGCTTTTCTTTTGTGGATGTTGGAGGAAACCAGAATGGACAAAAAGTCTATAAATCGATCTATACCACAGTCGAGGGCAACTGCCGTCGACTGTAAAAAACACAGGTAAATAAGTTAAGGTCATTTCGTGATGTCACTACTAACTTTCTTGTCTGGTTAATTATTAACCTGCAAAAATTTGTTCTTACTTAATTAATAAATCATATATCTATAATTTAGAATACTATTTCTCTACAAAATTAAAATCATTTTATTTTTTACGATAAACTTCTAGAATTGACATATAAACCTTGGCCAAGGAATAACAAAAAACGTGAAACATCGGGTACTGTACCAAAAAATGAAAACTACCGCAAAAATTTACCAGTACAGAGAGGAAGAGGCCAGGTCGACAAAAAGCCCCGTTCTCTTGGTGCCAATAATTTTACTGTGGGTGGAGCGGAGAACGCCAGGTAAATTGATTCTATATTTATTTTTGAGATAATTTTAGTCAAATTTTTCTCTAAACATTTAATTAACAGTGTTATTCAATCTACAAGTATTATAATAATTTTTTCCGTTTTATTTTATTAATGTTACATGCAAATTAAATCATCTTTGATTTGCCAATTACATCTTACATCCTTTATTACAGGCTAGAAAATGATGAGGAACCTGAAATAGGTTCTTTGTTGATGCCAGGAAGCAAAAAGCAAAACGTAATAAATGAATTGAAAAATCCTATTTTATAAAGCATTTATTAAAATTTATATTCTGTACTAATATATAAACTACTCTACTTACACATACCTACAGCAAAGACATGTACACACTAACCTGGGTGTAATTTACAAAACCATTTGTCCGGCAATTGGTGTCGCTCATATACATTAGGCATAATATGCCTCCATTTGTTACAGGAGTCACATTGTACCCATAGGCTAGATTCAATTCGGCGTTCTTGGTACCATAACATTCTCTCAAATTGGGTCAATTCGTCTGGGGGCTGACTGAGAAGCTCTTGGCTAAAGGAAATTACATTAAGTTTTTTTTTAATTTCATGGACATGATTGTTTAATAGCGAGAAATTTATATGATGTTAGATGTGTTGTGAATATAATTAATTTTCATAGTAGATAAATAAGACACACCTTTGAGAAGCCATTGAGCGTATGGATGATGATATAGCCTGGAAAGGAAAAATATAATCTCAAGCTTAGGTTTCCTAAAAAAGCGGTGCCGTTAACTAACGGCGGTCATTTTACGGTTGTTAATAACAGCCGTCTTTACTTTTTAACATAATGCAAAAAAAACATAATTTTCGCTCGTCCAAGTCACATTTCCACTCATGGTATTAATTAAATATGGGCACCGCTAAACGCGAAAAACGTTGAACTAATGTTTATCAGCACTATTTGACGTTACGGTAACACTCAAACGTTCTGTAGAAAACCTACTCCGATGTTATTTATAGACAACGTATGGGTGATGTCACCCATGTAACGTTGGGTAACGGCACCGCTTTTCTAGGAAACCTAAGCTTAATTTCCTAAAGAACTTTTAGACGAATTTTTAAAACTACGTTACCCCTCTTGTTGTTCATTTTAGACCCCCTCCCCCAAACCAACCCACGTAATTATTTAGATAAAGATATATTTAAAAAAAATGTGTGGCTTTAAAACCGAATTCTTTATCAGATAACAAAGTTTTAGTGAGTCAACTTTTCTATCGATATTAATCTTATACTGCCGTAGACATTTTTAGAACAATTTAAGACAAAATTAATTCCATAGTACATAGTATTTGCGTAACGGAAGCTCTCAATACGGTAATTGTTTTCCCTTTTTTGATACCTTTCTTATTGATGCTCCACTCTTATCCGTAGTGTCTCTATAATATATATTTATTTTATTTTTATAAATTGTAATTAAAGTTTTTAATTGCTTCACAGTAGATGTAATTGGGGAGTCACAACCCTACTGTATATATAAATTACGTGTCACGTTGTTTGTCCGCTATGGACCCCTAAACTACCGAACCGATATCAATCAAATTTGCACACCGTGTGTAGTTTGATCTAACTTAAAAGATAGGATAGCTTACATCTCAATTTATAGCCGCAATATTATTTTATTGCAAAATATAACTAGGTCTGCTAGTGTCTTAATAAAACAACACTTTTGAGTTATACCTACTTGGTTTTCATGAATCAGCTTACCATTTACAGAGTGTGTACACCTTTACATTCAACTTATAATCTAATCTAAATTCACGTGTATTTTTGCACAGCTCTTTAAACAAATAATGATAGTGTAGGTACTGATATTCTACCTTCATCTACGATCAATTAGAAACCTTATAAGCGTTAGTTATAAAAAAAATCTGGCATCTTCTATCCAAAACCACAACCATCCAAACTATATGTGTACCATTTTCCGTGTTTCTACTAAGTACTTGCATTGTATTATAATTTAAAATAGTTCATTTATCTACCTCTGGTTGTGATGCATTTTCCGGCTCGGAGGGTGTACCCGTTGGTAAATCTACTTTATCCATTGCTGGACCTTCAGACTTTTCACTGCTGAAATACTGTAAGGAAGATAATTTATTGCACATAAAATTTATTTCTTTAGGTAACAAATCCGTATTTTAATAATACTTTGTATCCTCACTGAATATTTTAAGGTGTTCTGATGTTTTTCTATTCTTAGGAGTCTAAAATTAATAGCACAATTTCTAGAGTATCTTAAGTCCTTTCTTTCCCGTCATAAGATGTTATTTTCCCTCCAACTTTTGCAACAAAATAAAAGAAAAGGCGCGTAGTCTATTTGTCTGTGGTTTGGCTTTGAGACCAATTTAATTTACTTTAATTTTGCAAATTTATGTTAGTCGGCCTTAAATTTAAATTATTTTTAGCTTACAATATTATCTCATTATTAACATTTATTGAGAAAATAATAGTCAATGTACTTATATAATTATTGATATTTGAAATAGTTTCTTAAATATTTTTTTTTCTATGATTTTTCAAACTAAATACCAAAGATCAAAGAAAAAGTCAAAGCAAAGCCTTATTTATTTTAATTCTGGTTTTAAACGTATTTACGTAGTGTTTTTTTAAATTTAAAATAAGTTTATCACTTAAATAAAGATAATTAAAAGTATATTTTTTATTTTTGTCTTGATTTAGGTTTCGATAAGAGGAAGTGCGCAGTGTATTATCTGCCTGGCTGCCGGCTGCTAAGCTGGTCGCCATATTTGTGGCGAGTTGAGTAGTTGTGATTTTTCACGAATTCGTCGATATATCGACGAAAGGGAGTAGCCAGTACTCCCTTATTAGTGTGTCGCAGTTATTCTGTGTAAATTTTGAAAAAGCTTATATTTTTAGTTCAGAGTTTGTTATTTTCTCATTGTGTAAAGCTATAAACATGGCCTTTTAAAATGTCGGCTTTGAATGTAATTAGTGTGTCTGCTCGCGGAGCTTCCCGCTTTTCTTTTGTGGATGTTGGAGGAAACCAGAATGGACAAAAAGTCTATAAATCGATCTATACCACAGTCGAGGGCAACTGCCGTCGACTGTAAAAAAAATACAGGTAAATAAGTTAAGGTCATTTCGTGATGTCACTACTAACTTTCTTGTCTGGTTAATTATTAACCTGCAAAAATTTGTTCTTACTTAATTAATAAATCATATATCTATAATTTAGAATACTATTTCTCTACAAAATTAAAATCATTTTATTTTTTACGATAAACTTCTAGAATTGACATATAAACCTTGGCCAAGGAATAACAAAAAACGTGAAACATCGGGTACTGTACCAAAAAATGAAAACTACCGCAAAAATTTACCAGTACAGAGAGGAAGAGGCCAGGTCGACAAAAAGCCCCGTTCTCTTGGTGCCAATAATTTTACTGTGGGTGGAGCGGAGAACGCCAGGTAAATTGATTCTATATTTATTTTTGAGATAATTTTAGTCAAATTTTTCTCTAAACATTTAATTAACAGTGTTATTCAATCTACAAGTATTATAATAATTTTTTCCGTTTTATTTTATTAATGTTACATGCAAATTAAATCATCTTTGATTTGCCAATTACATCTTACATCCTTTATTACAGGCTAGAAAATGATGAGGAACCTGAAATAGGTTCTTTGTTGATGCCAGGAAGCAAAAAGCAAAATTTGAACCATTTGCTGAACTTTATGTACTACCCTCGAGGGAGTAATGAGCGGAGAGGGCCTCCACCTCGAAAGCAGGTTGGCAGGCCCCAAAACCGTGTTTACCATCATTTTGAACATGACTTGTACCTAAGGACTTAGTGAGTAATTACTTTATATCAAGTTCTATCAATGAAAATTATATTTGTGCATTTAATAATCAGAACTTTCATAGGACTCTCCTTAATTTTTAATAATTTCTATAATATTATTATAGTTGTCAATTTGTTGTCAAAGAAGATGGAGATTATAAAGAAAATCTGTTAAACCCTGACCTTCCAATTAAATGGGAACAAATAGAGGAAATTGTAAGTATTTTGCAATATAACTCTAGAGAAAGAAAAATTCATTAAGACAAGCACAAAACATTAACAATAAAATTAATTATAGACAGTAAAAATTTTATAGTTAATTTGTCCTTGCTCAGTTTGTTGCTGTGGACGCAGGCAAAACTTAATTTCATCCAACATGTAACCTTACTGTTATAGGTGGTAAGGACGGTTGGTGAATGGCAATGCCCCATATGCTTGGGTCATCCAGTGGCTGGTCGTGTGGGTATCTGTGGCCATGTGTACTGCTGGGCGTGCATTTTGCATTACTCCTCTACTCATGAGAAGCAGCCACCACCCTGCCCTGTCTGTATTGTGACTCTCAATGTGGCCAATATGAAACCAACCAGATTGGTCAAGTGGGATACAACTGAAGAGGTATGCATTGGGCATTGGATTTATTTATAAAGAACTCTACTATTATTCTTGTTTCACTTATACCTTCAGAGAAGACTGGAAAGAGATATTTATCAGTTTATTTGCAGAAAAAAGTAAAATTCTAACAGATTACTGTATCATCAATTCCCAACTTGTAAGTCTCACCCGCGTCGCTAATTGGCTGACAGGTTTTTGATAGAATTATTAAATAACATGTATTTGCTGTAAAATATTATCACATAGTAATGTTTTCCCTTTAAAGAATTAGAGGATTTCTGTAATGTCGAGTATTAATTTCTAAAACAGGTGACAATGCGCCTCGTTCGCCGTTTACGTGGATCCTCAATAGTAGAAGCTGCGCCACCTCGTGGTGTTTTAACAGAGATCAAAGAAGCGTCTGTCTTGCCGTTGGAGGAACAGCTGGCTTCACCTTATGCAAGAATATTTTCAGCTAATCAACAACAGGTATACAAGTGTTCTTTAACACTTAATTATAAGTTTAATATGTGTTTGCTATTGCATTTACTTGTAAAAAAAATCAACCTAACATGTTCTTTGTCAGAGACCTGTGCAGCACTGATTAAAATATATTTAAAAAAAAAGGATAGTTAAAATATATAATTCTATACAACCATTACTATTTTAACAGCACACTTCTAATGTGTTTATATCCTATTTAACCAGAATTAAAACCAAAACATTAAAATAAAGCTTCTGAATAATTAAATAGTGCTTGCACTAAAAAATTCGTAACTGATTTTCAATAAATAACAATTCCAGATTCTTGACATAATAGAGAGAGATAAGGAAGAGATTTCAGCTCAAATTCAAGCAGAAATAGATACAACAGAACTTGTCTACTTGGAACAAGCATTAAATATGCTTAAAATTAAAAAAAAAGAAAATCTAAAACGGCAACATGCGAAACCCAAAATTGTTGAGGAGGCAGAGGTAGCCGATAAAGTTGTTATCGAGAAACATGATTTAGCTGAGAAAAAATATGATTGGTTCGATCTTGACGAAGACGAGGGCGCCACTTGTTTAGATGAATTGTCAGAATTAGACATCAATGATGAAATGGCTGAGACGCCTCCGGAACCTGATCCCAAATTTGGTTTTGACTTTAATGACAATCCTTTGGAAAACTTGGATGTAAGGGACAGTCCCACAGATATAGATCCGATTAATATAACCGAAGTTGACAGAGAGAATCAAACAAGATACTTCTATTTTTATCAAGGTATAGTTTTTATCTATATTTTTTATCTTCTTATCAGCAATCGACCTCACTTAGTCATAATCTGATGTGTTCTCTTTATGGATTATAATAATAATATAAACCTTTATTCAGACAATATACAATTTTGCTTAAGCTAGAATATACACATAGTATTGAAAAAATTAACTTAAATATAGTTGAATATTTACATTCCTTCGACAACATTGTCTGTTTGCCTTTTGTTGGCAAAGGCCTCCTCCAAATGCCAGTATAAATTTCTGACCTGGGCAGTTCGAGTCCATGTGCCACCTGCCACGGCTCTTATTTCATCCACCCACCGGAATGGTCTACCCCTTTTCCTCTTCATGTGATCTGTGTACCAATGCATTAATGACTTGTTCCATTTTGACTGGCTCTGATGGTATGCCCAGCCCACTTCCATTTTAGTTTTTTAAATGTAATAGTTACATCTTTTGTTTCTGTGTGATTTTTACACGCTTTATATTAGCTTCACCTGTATGTATGCATGTATGTATGTATGTAACCGACTCCTTCGGACTCGATTTTGACCCACTTTTAACGGACAGATTTAATTCAAACTTTGCGCACCTGTCAAAGATCGATGACAATGCTAATGATAATGACAATGATGACATAATCCGAAAAAAACAATGAAAAAAATAAAAAAAATTAACTAAAAAATAAATAATAGTTAAATAAAACTAGAACACACGCTTTTAAAGCACATCAAACTAAAAAGTGAAAAATAATTCCTAATTTAGGCTGAAAATGGGGCGTGGGGCGCTCTGTGCCATATTTTTCGTCTATCGAGCAACCCACGCTTTTTCACAATAATACCAGTATTTTTTGTTCATTACCATTTTCAGCCTAAATTAGGAATTATTTTTCACTTTTTAGTTTGATGTGCTTTAAAAGCGTGTGTTCTAGTATTTTAAACTATTATTTATTTATTGTATATTTATTCTGTCAGAAAGTTTTTTCCCCATTATGCTTCTATTCATTGCATTCTGTCATATTTCAAATCTTTTGGTTAGTGCTTTTAGTGTTAATGTCCAAGTTTGACAGCCGTAAGTCAATATAGGCAGAATGCTTGGGTTGTAGTTTTTACCTTTCATAACTGTTCTAATTTCCTTATTTTTAAATATTTCCTTCAAACTCCAGAATCTTTTCCATGCATTTCTTATGCATCTTTCCATTTCTTTTTTTGCTAGATCTTTTATTGATATTATTTGGCCTATGGATGGAATATACTGTGTGGCTAATGTTCCTGTGAACCTCATGCCAGATTCAATCACAAGGCCAGGGTTCACATCTTCTTTACTATCTACAAGGCTTTTGCTATGTTCCTTAATAAGCCTGTTCATGTATCTTGTACTACACATTGTGT